GGGGTCCATTTTGCACATTTTGAGGAATGCCAGATATGTGCAAAATGGACCCCCTCATTTTGCACATTGTGAGGAATGCCAAAAATGTGCAGAACAAAGGGGGTGCATTTGCACATTTCGAGGCATGTCAACAATGTGCAAAACAAGGGAGTCCATTTTACACATATCTGGCATATCTCAAAATGCGCAAAACAAGGGGATGTGTGACATGCACCCTACCAACTGTGCAAATGGACCCCCCTCATTTTGCACATTTTGAGAAATGCCAAAAATGTGTGAAAATTGACCCTCTCATTTTGCACATTTTGAGGAATGGCGAAAATGTGCGAAACAAGGAAGGTGCATTGTGCACATTCTGAGGAATGCCAGAAATGTGCAAAATGGACCCCCTCATTTTGCACATTTTGAGAAATGCCAAAAATATGTAAAAATTGACCCCCTTGTTTCGCACATTTTGAGGAATACCAGAAATGTGTAAAATGGACCACCCTTGTGTTGCACATTTTGAGGAATGGTGAAAATGTGCAAAACAAGCAGGGTACATTTGCACATTTTGATGAATGCCAGAAATGTGCAAAATGGACCCCCCTTGTTTTGCACATTTTGAGAAATGCTAAAAATGTGCGAAACCAAGGGGGTCCATTATGTACATTTTGAGGAATGGCGAAAATGTGCAAAACAAGGGGGATACATTTGCACATTTTGAGGAATGCCAGAAATGTGCAAAATGTACCCCCTTTGTTTTGCACATTTTGAGAAATGTCAAAAATGTGCAAAATGTACCCCCTTTGTTTTGCACATTTTGAGAAATGTCAAAAATGTGCAAAACAAGGGGGTCCCATTTTGCACATTTTGAGAAATGTCAAAAATGTGCAAAACCAAGGAGGTCCATTTTGCACATTTTGAGAAATGTCAAAAATGTGCAAAACAAGGGGGGTCCATTTTGCACATTTTGAGAAATGTCAAAAATGTGCAAAACCAAGAGGGCCCATTTTGCACATTTTGAGGAATGCCAGAAATGTGCAAAATGGACCTACCTGGTTTCGCACATTTTTGACATTTCTCAAAATGTGCAAAATGGAGCTCCTTGGTTTCGCACATTTTTGACATTTCTCAAAATGTGCAAAATGGAGCTCCTTGGTTTCGCACATTTTTGACATTTCTCAAAATGTGCAAAATGGAGCTCCTTGGTTTCGCACATTTTTGACATTTCTCAAAATGTGCAAAATGGAGCTCCTTGGTTTCGCACATTTTTGACATTTCTCAAAATGTGCAAAATGGAGCTCCTTGGTTTTGCACATTTTTGACATTTCTCAAAATGTGCAAAATGGACCCCCCTTGTTTTGCACATTTTTAACATTTCTCAAAATGTGCAAAATGGAGCTCCTTGGTTTTGCACATTTTTGACATTTCTCAAAATGTGCAAAATGGAGCTCCTTGGTTTTGCACATTTTTGACATTTCTCAAAATGTGCAAAATGGAGCTCCTTGGTTTTGCACATTTTTGACATTTCTCAAAATGTGCAAAATGGACCCCCCTTGTTTTGCACATTTTGAGAAATGCTAAAAATGTTCGAAATTGCTCACATTGAGCTAGCCATAACCATGGTCTAACCATATCCCATATAACAAAATATGCTTAGAATCTCTCCCCCCTACTTATTTTACAAACAAACAACGGGCATTACCATAGATGGACGTGATCAATTGCATCTCGAAGACGGATGGTCTCCCCGATGCGCCTCTGGTAGACCACACGCAGTATTACCAGCCCACCAGCAGGTACTACGTGAATGGGTAAGTTCATTCATCTTGACTCGAGAATTACTTGACCTTCCCAGTCCGCAGGTCCACAAATACATGAAACAAATGCACACTAAGGTCCTCTCTCGTGTGCCCCCTCCTTTTCCCCGCTTCTCTGATTAACTAACGGAACTCCCACAGCCCACGACCTCATCACGATCGGCGAAACACCTTTCACACATGAGGCATCCGAGCTCGCCACGTATGTCCTTCCGCGGAACCGTGAGCTCAACATGGTCTTTCAATTCGAGCTCATGGACATTGACTCTCTCTGAATCCCTGCTCCTCAGGAAACCTTGGATGCTCAGGGAGCTCAAGGCAATTGTTGGTCGCTGGCAGCAGTTCATGCACGATGATGGGTTTTGGAATGCGTGAGTTCCGAGTGATATCGGGCCGAAGATGAATCAATGAAATACTGATGTTTTGTGTAGTTTGGCGCCATCAAAGGATTAACATTGAGAACTATGACCAGGCGCGGTCAGTGTCGCGCTTTGGGAATGACTCGGTGGAGTGGCCCGCAGTCTCCGCCAAGATGCTCGCCATCTTTGAGGTTCATAAATATGTCAAATTCAAGGATTATTAGCCGTCTGAGCTCAGACACGGGATTTCTACTTTTCTTGGTCCATGGAATAGTCACATCGTGCCCCACCCGAACGACTCAGACAAATGATGACACAGTGGATGCGGCAGAACTATTGCATTGAAAGCTATTTGAGTTTCCATAGATCGTGCGCACATCTTCTGCTACCAGTCTTCATGTTCAAATAGCTGACAGACGGTAAGTTTTGCAAGTGTGGAATGTGGTCTATCAGCTGCCGGGTACAGATCTAGACACACCGCTCATGTACTACCTGGGCGAGCAGATAACGACCTGTTGAAGTGAATTGAATACTGACTAATGGTTATCTCTTCGCGATACCAGGATGAATCATCGCTGACAAGTCATGTACAGTAGATATGCTCATAATGCAATATGAACATATCTAGTAAACTGTACACCAGTACACATATAGTGCATACTTAGGCTCGTAACTAGTCTGACTATGTGTCAATTTGATTGACGTAGTCAGACTCAGGGAACCAGACTACACGATGATATCGCATCGTTGAAGCAACATGCGTAGCCGTGGGAACTACATTATAAGTACTTCCAATCATACAGGCGGGCGTAACCACTACTATATCATGGACCAACCGTACCAACAGCATGTTCGACTACTCTTGGCCCTTCAAGCTTTCAAGCTTCAAGCCTTTTGTCGTCCTCGTCATGCAAGGAACATCCGTGTAGTGTTGCTATCGAGTCGAATCGAGGTGGGAAATTGCAGTAATTTGACACAGCTCGGCACTAATAAGAGTTGTAACGAATTGCGCCCCATTTAACTCGCGAATTGGTAATGAGTTCGGCCCAATGACTACTAGTAGTCATTGAGCTTGCCTTGGGCATGAGTTCCCTCGCAAGTACTTTCTCCTTCAACTGTTTTACATAAATCAGCCTAAGTCTCGCGTGGCAAAGCACCGGAAACTAGTGTTATATTACCAGTTACCGTCTTCCTTCTAAACTCTCATACCCTCTCTTCAGTACTTAGTATGGTCACCATCAGCACAAACAGTGATATCTATTTTCCATTTCCACGAGGCATGATGGAGGATGGTCCTCAGTACAGTGAGGATGGCTCTGGCCTATACCCACCCATCTTTGGGACTCAATTTCCTCAGCCGCACGGAGACAGTACGTCCTATCAAAACTCGCTTTTTCAAAACAACATTAATCATCATTATATTGTTCACAATCAAGTCCACTATCATCAAAATCAACTAGATGTACAATGTGCAGCCGGCATCCCAGCCTCTCAGTTCGATTACACTAATATCAACATCCACCTGCACCCTCACCTTCTCGAAAATCCTCAGCACCATGATTCATATCAGTATGAATTTCCTTTTTCACAAAGAAATGACCTTGGCCTTGGTGTACCACCCCATGCCTGCCTTAACACCTACCTTCCGCCCCCTCCAGCTAATGGCGGCATCGTCAATTTGTTCTATGAAGGCCCCCCAAACCGAATATATTCTCTCAAGGACTTGCGCCTACAATATTACTCCTCGGGTGGTGGCTCAGCACAACCCCCTGTGATACAAACTCCGGAGAGCACTCGATCCTCTATTCCAACGTCAGAGTCTCAATCAACCCCTCACCCACAGCCAACAGCATCTACATCCCGGGATCAGCCTCCCAGGGATATTTCGAATCGAGTGATAGCTTGTCAGCAATGGTACGTTCATTCTTATCCTTATTTCAGGCTATTCATTCACGTGCTTGCTAAGTCGTAGGAGGAAGATTCGATGTGATTCCACAAGACCAATTTGCCATAATTGCGTGAGCCGCTCTGATAAATGCCAATACGATGCGGCACTTAAACGGCGAGGGCCTGATAAAAGGCCAGGCACTCGCCGGCGCTCATGTAAGAAACGTCCGACTGGTGGCTCATCCCCTCCTTCCCTTCCATCCAAGCGGAAATGCACTTCGGTCAGAAATGGCGACTTCGACCTTCTGCAGGAATCTTGTGAATTTCCCAATGTCCCCACTTTGCAGCCTACTCTATTTTCATGTCAGGCTGGGGTGGGGTGCTAAGAACATGACATGGTGGGCGGGCAGGCAGTGGGCGGGCAGGCGGGCAGCAGGGGTTGTCAGGTATGCAGGGTCAGCCACCTCCCAGTTTGTAATCAAACTCTGCTCAAATCTAGCTGGGCAGTGGCTGGCACACCGCCAGACTGGACCCAGACACAACCCCCATCTACTAAGTTTAGATGTATTCATCTACTTCACACAATATCTCCCATAGTTTGCGGTCCTGTTTTCTTAAGTTTCGCACGTGCTAGTTTGCTTTGTCTCTTCCCTCGAGCTTACGATTCTCGTTGGCATCTGCTGGTAAACACTGCTCATTATTTCTGTAGATTTTACAGTCTATGGGAACTCAGATACTCGGTGTTCATTGGTCGTGCAGATGTCTTTTGCTGGGACCGGCATCATCTCTCATACTTGGCGTTCGAGAATATTAGTAGCCGACTCCAACGCAGAAACCAGATTGTCTTCTAAGAGCGTGTACATGTATCAATAGTAGTGGTACATCATTCTCGGAAATAGTTACGGGATCGATACTTGTGAATATGTACAGACGATAGCAATACGACCTAGAACTACACACCGATGTGAACAAAAGCCATCCTCTGCTCGAGCAGCACTTTCGTCTTCACAGCGTGCATAGCACAGTTGAGTGCCCAGGCTGCCTTCGTACAGTCCATGACACCACCATCTTTCAAATCTCCAAGCATATGCGTGTAGAAAGCTTCAACGACGTGTTTTGCGATGGCATCGTCAACCTCCCACAGCGTGCCAACGACGCTCTTGAACCCTGAAAACTGGAGACCAGCTGCAAGGTGAACCACTTCCTCGGATGTCTTTTCATCGCCGATGGCAGTATGACAAGCAGATAGGAACGCAAACTCAGCCTGCGGAATGTCTCTCTCCACAATATCGAGCAGCGTCAAATGTTCGTCTCTCATAACAAAATGCGAGTTGTCAGGCTGCATAGAGTCCTGTTTTCCATGACAAGCAAGGTGCACCCATGTGTTCTGCTGTAAAGTTGAGAGTGCACCTGCTCGTGTGGCTGCGTCGCCAGAAATAGTGGTGGAGTTGGCAGTTGTGGGAACGAGCTTACGGACAAGCTCGAGCTCGCTGTCGATAGCCAATAGCGCCTTGCCTTTCCCTGCGCCCGGTTGACCTTGTCCAATCGCCACAAAGGACGGAGGCACGCGCTTCTTCATCCACTGTCTAGATCTGATTAGAGCTGAAAGTGTCGGCATGTAAGAACAGATGTAGATATCTTCCAGGCATGGCTCCTTGCCAGAACAATCTGCCTTTGTTTGGAACGGGTGAGCTGCATGGAGAGGAATGGACGTGAAATCTGCAGTTGGACATAACCGGATTCGAGAGCGGTGTTTTAGTTTGAGGACGTGCTCGAGTAGGTTGACGATGGGTAACATGATCTCGTCCCATGTTATCCGCAGGAGTACTATTAGATCCGTCCTTGACTCCGCTGGGCTCATTCGAGATGCGTCTCGTATTGCCCTGGCGAAGCGATCCTTGAGAATCTTCAGATCTGCGAGAGCGATGGATGGGAAAGGAACATGATGGGGGCCTCCTGATGTCGGGACAATGATGGCGCTGCACGAGTTCTGGCTGGCGATGAGGATGATAATTGGGCCTTGGCGTGCTGCCACTTGCAGGTCTTCGCACGAAGGTGGGAGCAAAAACTGCGAGAACGCCCGAAGATCACGTGTCTCAGCTACCACAGCTTCCCATTGCTTTGTGAGTCTCCTATACTCTGTTGCTGCCTGATCAGCAACAGCTCTGTTAGTTCTGGCTATAGAACCCCGAGCATCGGACAGGTGCGTGCTAAGATTTAAAAACTTGCGAGCTAGTTCGGGATTCCTAGACTTGAGGTCTTCGAGTGGTGTCCTGAGCCGCAATACCAGTGACCACTGCTGGCCACGGCCCTGCTCCACGAGCTCGACTGCCCGTCGTAGATTGTCACGACATATGGCACACGAGGCTGCATCTACAGGAAGTGATCGCGCACCACGAAAAGCGGCCGCAAGCTCGCGCCGTGAGATGATCGACGATTGCGTCATCATATGGCTGTCAAACAACTCAATTTAGCACATTTGGTATGCTTCTAGGGCAGATTCATTTTGATATACCTCTACTTGGCGAGCCCAGTCAATAGCATTTATGATGCGTTCCGGAAATATTTGAGTAGGATGCCTTGATGCCAGTCGGAAGTTCTCCACTGCGAGCGATAAATCAACAGGGTCGCGCAGAATCTGATAACGAGACACATAGGCCACCTGCAGCCGCATGTAGCTGAAATACCTGTCCGGGTGAAGTGAAGACAGAGCTGCCAATGACTCTTGGCAAAGAGTAATGGCCTCCTCGACATCTTCATTATCCCGAGTCTGCATGAAACGAGAGCTGAACGCTGAACTCATATTTTGAAGAGTCACATAGCGCTCTGGATCAAGCTGCGTTGACCGGAGACTTTAGTGATATAAATTGATGGTCTCATTAAGGTCCTCGCTGGCATGTGATATGCCATGTTCCTGTTGGAGCGCGAGGGCAAGGTGGTTAAGAGCGTTGTCACGAAGTGGATGCCCAGCTAGACGCAATGACAGTGCCTCGCGATGGAGGGTGATAGCTCGAGTGAGGTCTACAACATTGCGACGTTTGGTAAAGCGGGCGACAAGGGCGCTCCCTAAGTTGTCTAATGAGGAATCACGAGATTCGTCCTCAATAGGGCACAGGTGCAGGGATTCTTCATAAAAAGAGATGGCATCATTAAGGTCATTAAGTTTCCTTGGTGATCGAAGCGGAATGCGAGTGAGACAACCAAGTTGTTCAGATATGACGGTCAGCATGTCCCTCGGGGCTCAGAGACATGGCTTCACGACGAAGTTGTATGCATCATCGATGTTGCCGTGCTGATCAAAATGTGCTTCAACTGCTTGTGCGAGATTGTAGCGAGCTGTGAGACGGAGTTGAATCAGCTGATGGCCAAGAGGACAGAGCTCGAGGACAACTCGTCGAAGGTGGATGCCTTCACCGGATGCGTCTATTGGAAGATTGTTGCATTTGACGATCACATTATCGATACTAATTTTCCTTGCCACGACGCTACGAAGGTACGTGCCACCTGAACAGAGAAGCAGGAGCTTATGATAGAGGTAGGTGGTTTCGCAGATGTCTGCAACAGTACTTGTCTTATGATAATGCCAATTCAGCGCTCTGGTGAGATTGTATAGGACAAATTGACTTACAAGCTGTCGAGGATCAGCAATTTCTTCGGTCAGCATGGCTCGGGGACGGCGGAGGATAAATGCACTCACGTTCTGCCAACATATCGTAATTACATTTGGTGAGGAAGACTCGAACTTGAGGAAAGAATAATGTACTCACTCCCTGTGAACAGATGAACGACGACAGTAGTTAGTGGTGCGTGGACTCCATGAAGGAAGGTCCGTCTCATCCAACGTCCTCGTGTTTGCTGTGGCACAGCCTCATTGCTGAGTAGACGAAGCACACAGGTCGGCGACCACACCTGTGACTCTCATGTACCTGTAAGCTCAGGCTTACCATGTGACAGACGCACCTTGCTGACTCGTTGCTGATTGGACACTGCGTCTTGTTTATCAGATGTTATATAGGATCCTGCCTTCATACTGTTTCTCCACCATATCAGTAAGCGTATCAAGGAACTCTTCGTCGGCGTAGTCCTCGAAGGTGAATCTATGCGGCACAAGACTCGGAAGACTTGGATTATGACTGAAGAATTTCTCGATCTGACGGCTGTAGCCGGCAAGGATGAAAACAAGGCTTCCAACGCGGTTCTCCATCTCTGCTAACAGGAAGTCCAGAATATCGGTACTAGACCCGCCCTATGCGCTAACTTGCTGATAGGCCTCATCAATGAATATGGCACCATCGCCGACTTTCATAACATCCTCGATGAGCTTCTTTGCACCACCGACGCCATCATGTGCCAGGCTGCTCTTGTGGTTTCCTTGAATGTGTTTCCTAGAAGTACTGGTATTGATTTGAGAAACTGGGCATATAGCCTTGCAACCGTTTTTCCTGTAGAAATTTTTAAATTGGCATAAGAAAATCACACGAAGAAGGGTTCCTACCTGTCCCTGGATTTCTCATGAGGGCAATGCAGGTGTTCCTTGACGTTTCATCAAGTCTAGCTTCTCCTAACTTGCGACTTTACTCCTTCCAGTCCAGTCATCGCCATAATACTATCAATCGCGTTATTTTACTCACCCAAGAGCCTCTTCTGCGATTCCCAGTCGTCATGAGCAGCAGACCTCTCTTTTGGCTACCAGGAGGTTGCGAAGGAGTCGATGAGGGATCTGAGGATTGCTGTGAGGGAGAATCATGCGTTTGCACTGCCGTCTTTCAAGAAACTTGCTGTTTTCTGCGCGCGGACTTTTGCCTCTTGGATCTCTCGTTTCTTCTGCTTGAGCATAGCCTCTCTTTGCTTCGCAGTATTGGCATCTGCAATAAATGTAACACGTAGAACAGATAAGAAGGAATGCAATGAGCAAAACCGCGGACGGACGAATAGTCATCATACATGGGAGGTCCGCTATAGTCCCGGTCCGCTCTTTTCATCACATCAATTATTACCTTACGAGCCTTTATTGTATATCTATCTTGTCAAACTAGAACAAGCTAACATGATCAGAGTCACGGTGAACCTCCAAAAAAGTCGTAAGTGCATGCATGGTATTTGATATCGAGAAATGACGGATGTTCTTGGGAGCGTGCTGCGAGGGCGCGTCCTCTGCGACAGAAACCGGACTCATGTTTTGAAGTTGGATTGTTTGAAGGCGAGGTCTGTTCAATGTTGAGAGGAGTATCTGGAGAATCCGCGGAGACCACATTTTCTTGGTATATCTTTGGGACCGAATTTACCGCACATTGATCAATCAAATATTGTTTGATCAAGCACACAATTTGATGTGAGTAAACCAAAGTCTGATGGAGATTGAGATGGACTTGGCATTGCAAGGTTCATGATGGCGATGGCAGTGAAGTGCACTGATGGAAAACGGACCAAATGATGTGATCCCCGCTGTGGCGGCACTAGCTTCTATTCCACGCAGCAAGGCAAATTCAAACATGCACATTCATAAGTGCAAATTGCGTTGGTGATATCATCGCGTCATCCAATATTTCCTAAGTGCTGTCGTGACTTACCTTTCAATATTGGAGTTAGATTCGTTGACCTGCGGAGACGCGTGTTCGAAGTGTCACCTCCTTGCGGAATCAGATATCATGATGTTGAACGTCGCCAATTAAAGGTGACTGTTGCTATTTCGCGCGCGCGCGGTCACCATACATAAAATAAGCAACACGAATCTGCTGCGTAAAGGCCCTCTCTCCTCAGGGATTTCTACTCCCGTTGTATGACAGCTAAGAGCCCGAGACCTCCGAGAAGTGCGTATTTAAGTTGCGGGAAATCATTCTATGTAGTATGATCAGCTTGATTGGGCATGAACAAGATATGCATGCTTACCATGGCAATCGTCACGTAGCCAATGTACGGAAGAAACCTGGGGATGAAGTGTGAGTGAAGTAGATGCGTGGTTAGAAGATTGAGTGGGAAATAGACGTATCAGGCTGCGCAAGTTTTGCCTCGAAACAGGAAGGATAAAAATGTGAAGAACACATACCCGCGAGCTTTGCCAATGATGTGTCTTCGGTCGAGCCATTCAAGGCCCCGGTAGAGGTCAATGTCATCGACATGATTGTTGTCGCCTTTCGTGAGCATCAATTGATGTTCCCCGGGAGGTGGTTTGAGTTTGACTAGTCTGGGGCGGAGTATAGTTGTAGCTAGTCATCGGATTTCATCGACTTGACCCCCCACAACAAACCACGTACGGCATGCTGAAGATACTCACCTGTTGTTGACGATGCGGTTCTCCGTAGAATTGTCAAATGGGATGAAAACATCCTGGGTCTCCAAGACGCGGTGCACGATGGTTATTTCGGCGCCAGGGATCCTGTATACTGTTATATCACCTGTATGGTAGCGTTGGCCTGGGGGGTTGGTAAGAAAAAGAAGATCGCCACGGTAAAACGCCGGTTCCATTGAGCCACTGTAAATCTAATATGCGGGATCCAGTTTAGCGTGGGGAGAAATGGAGGTCTCAGGTTGAATACCTGATTGAGCGAGGATGCTACACACCTGAGGACAACGACAATTGGAGATTCTGTGTTCAGAATCAGGCCAAGGCCTTTCCATAGCATAAGGCCAGATGTAATGACAGAGGCGAAGTTGAGAATTTGGAGCAGAAACTGAAGGAATAGAGAATGATAGAAGCATATGGGGTCACATCAAGGACACGTCGGCATAAATGAAACAAGAAAAGTCAGTATTCTGCAGAGTGATTAAAAACGCTAGGACGCACGTGTCGGAATCCTAGTCGACGGAACGTCTTGAGCTCATCTGAGAACATCAGGAATAGAAAATGGAGGAAACGACTGGACGAATGATAACTTTATGGTGGACGACTCGTAACTGGTCTTTACTTAGTACTACGTACGTCTGAGATATTAAGGTGCTAGGTGGTTGGCTTGTCTGTGGTTATATAAGCTGGTCACGGTAGGTGATACTTACATAATGTAAAATGATACTTGATGCACGCCGCTCCGAGGTCATATTTAGGACACCTTACGACTATGATGATCAGTACAAATGTTAACGGTTCACACTAGTGCCAGCCAATATTTGTACACATCGGCCGCGTCTGTTTGTGTGAACTCAGGACAAACGATAGCCTTTGCAATTGGGTTCTGAACATCGATGAAATGGGGATGACAACTAGAACACGAGGATAATGACACAGGTAAGCTTGACATACATTGATAATTAAACGCACACCATCACCTCCACAACCATGCTGTAACACAAACAGTACAAGTCTTCGTAACCTCCTTCCTCCCGCGCCGCCTTCGCACCAACGCTGAATACACGATCCAAACAGATCTCAACCTGCGCTCAACACCACTCTCGTCCAACGATACAAACACTCTCATCGCCATAGAGTCCTCCGTTTGTATTAATTGACAAGATATTGCTGCGAGAAGCCAATACGTGGTAAGCGTCAGTAACGAGAGTATAATTGAGTAAGTTGGCTCAGTCCAGTGACACCACATACAACATCATCATTCGCCCCTTCGTCGTATTAGTGCAAATACATCAAATATCAGCTGTTCTGCACGCTAAAGCTGTATGTAGCTTTGCACGAAGTTCCTCGATTTCGGCCTGTGTCAAATTGGTACGGATGAGCATCATCAACAAACGAAGCCGATAGCTCACCTGTGCTTGGTGCTCTCGTTGCATCTGCAAAGTCATACCATCTGGCATCAACCAACGAAGACCATATTCGCCAATACGTAAAAACTCACCATTGCTTCACGAAGTTGAGCATTTTCGACTTCCTGTTAGATTGGCACAGACAAGTTCCATCAACGAACAAAGACTATATTCGCTGATAAGTAATAGCTCACCATTGCTTCACGAATGTGGGCATTTTCGACTTCCTGTCAAATTGACACAGACAAGTTCTATCAACAAACGATGTGTGTGTGTGTGTTGAGAAAAGCCTACCTGTGCTCGGAGACGCTCAGTTTCTTCTTCAAGTCGTCGAATCTGCAAAGACCAAGACCATGAACAAACAAAGATTATATTTGCAAAAAATAGCTCACCGGAGCTGCCCGGCGGAGTATTTCGCCCTGGAGTATGTCCAACGTGTTCTGCCACTCCAGCTCATAAGCCGCAACTACAGCCTTGAAACCCTGATCTGACAATCCTACTGCGATCCCACGGTAGCGACAGCGTGCATTATGGTTGTTGCACAATTCTTGATTATTGGGGAAAATTTTTGCCAAGCTCATCCAGGAGGTGTGCGAGAACCAGTAGCACTGCTCTCCATACAAGTGATATGAGGGGGCTTGTCGATGTACTAGAGACAGTACAACAGATATTTGAAGCGCTGAAGGTGCAGGGTCCAGGAACCGTAGAGTACAAAGTGTGTTGTATCGCGGGAATCTGTCATTAAGGAATGACGCTGCATTACGAGGCGGACCAAGAAGGTACACATGGTCAAGTGCATTGGTTTCAAATGAAGATGGAGAGAGTAGTTCTGACTGTGCGGAGCTACAGTTTTGTCGTGGGTGGACAGTGCGATCCGCACATACTACAGCCTCAGCTGAAGAGCTGCTCCAGTGTCGGAAATAGAACACAAGAAATTCGTGTTCGGCACCTTCTGCACATTTACAATATTCGATTCGATTAAGAGGACATGACTGGTAACGATTTTCAAGATCTTCAACTGATTTCGCCATCCATGAGGACCACTCTCTCACTGACATAGTAGGCGTAATGATACTCTGCGGGAGTTGGAACCGTAGACAAATGAGATCAGGAGGAGGCTCTGACATGAATGGACGAAAGAGTGTAGCGAGCCAACGGCTGGTGAATGAGCGGCCTTGTTTTAAAGACATGAAGGGTTTGGGCACTCCGGCATTGGACACGATTCTGTGATCAGATTTGCTTTGTCATCAGTCAAAAGCTGTGCCTCCTTGGTACATTTGATAGCGATCGAGAATTGGTATAGCCAGGACTAGTACTTACAGCGGCCTATCTCGGTCTGCGCTCAGCGCTCAAATTCAAACTCCATCTGATACATATGCGGGTACCTCAGCGCTTTGGCGACATATGTCATAGGTATCTTAAGGTACCGGTTTTCAACAAGCCAGGGGTACGGATCATCCTGAGCAGCCCTGTCCCCAAATCCTGCGGCAAAATCACTTCTAATATGTGGTGACAAGCATGACCAGATAACGACGAGCAGAGGAGAGTAGCGAACGAATGAGTGACAGGGTGATGGACAACGGGACAAAAGGGACATGCTGGCAGTGCAAGCACCTGTTCTTGTAATACTCATACATTATATACTGTAGCACAACGAAAAGTCTCATACATGAACCATTGCCATAACAAGGCCCAGTACTTTGGGTCATACATTAAGACCCTTGTCCCCCCAGTACTTCGAGTCATGCATTAAGTCATACATTAAGACCCTTGTTCCCCCAGTACTTTGAGTCATGCATTAAGTCATACATTAAGGCCCTTGTCCCCCCAGTACTTCGAGTCATACATTAAGTCATACATTAAGGCCCTTCTTCCCCTAGTACTTCGAGTTTGTCACACAGGGTTCACATGCTGGCTTCTTCGAAGATGCACATCAGATGTATCGATTGATTGCTCATCAAATAACAAAATGTAATCATACTACTCATCATCACCCTCTAAAGGAGGACCTTCCAATGATGGCATTTGATCGTCGGCCATTTCAGTGTTGATTTCAGGGACCGGGTCAAGCTCGGAGACGACGGCGGAGAGAGCATCCCTCCAAAGCGTCGAGAAACGTATTACCAGACCCTCCTGAACAGATATTTGGCGCTGTGCATAAGCAAAGCTCCCTTCTCGGTCAGCATCCTTAGTAAACGACCTCGCAGTACCTCGTCCGTTCCATTGAGCCATTTCCCAGCGGAAAAATGCCAGTACTCTTTGCATCTCTTCAATCAGCAAAGCAAACTCTTCTGACCATCGGGATGCTCGCGCTCTGGCCTTGCACCATTCGACCCGTAAACCTGACAGTCCCATGATTAGAGACATTCTGACGATAATGCAAGGAGCAACTTACAATCTTGAAGACCCGCGTCATTGTTGTGCAAGACACCAGGTGCCTTCCATATCCACGGGATGTCACGTCTTCCCTCTGATTGCCCTGCAGACCCTGCATCACCCATAGGTCTCATATCCGCTACATTTAACAGCCGAAATGTATCTCTCCAACCTACCATACCTAGCCGGTCTCCAAGGTTATCAAGCGCCACACGAGCAGCTTCATATTTGAGTCGGCTGCCACATTTTTTCGCCTCTGCGAGGTCAAGAGCACTGCGTGCATGGGTACTGGCTCGCTGGCCACGGATGTGTAGAGTCTTGAAGGTATTGAGATGAGCATGCAGGCGGACATTCTGATGAACATCGTTCAGAGCATCATCAGCCTGTGCGTATTGAAGCTGCCACTCGATTTGGCACAGCAAGAGATCACAGGGAGTTATGGCGTTGAGCTGTGATGGAAGGAAAAGAATAAAGTCCTCGGGCATTTCGTCCTGGGGGATGTCATCGCGCTGGGCGCGGATACGAAGAGAAGCAACTGTGGGCATATACAATATTTGAACTTGAGCCCAGGCATCGAGTTTGCGCTGGAGCGTGTTCGAACACATTTGAAGTTTTGCCTTCTGGTTATCAGTAGGATTTTGACTTAATGTTTTCCTGTCTGCACGTATCCGCCGCCTGCAATAAATCATTTAGTGACAAAGAAAAACAAGCGAGTTCCAAAGACGTACTGCTGGTCTTCGAGTTTGAGTCCATTTGCTATGAGCATGCTGGGTGAAATCTCAGCATGAAGGGACACATCAATTCCATCTTGTAAGTCACGTCTTTCACATTCCGCAAATTCCAAGCGAACCATGGCTTGAGTCATTGCTAGAATCACGACAGACAATTCATCAATATCAAAACACAGAAAACAAGAAACTGACACACAAACAACTCGACTTTCGAAAGGGTTTGGTTTGGTATCGTCTTCCTCCCATGCCTCTACATCAGCCTGCCACAATGCTAATGTTGATGCATCGATTGCACCTTCAAGTTCTGCAAGTTCTTCACGGTGGGCTCGGGCGGCTGCAGCAGCCTCCTTGAGTTTGTGCAGTAAAGTCCGCCCTATTAAAAACACCTTAATGAAATTCAACGAAAGAGAACAAGTCAACGCACCCAACATTGATATTTTTTTCCAGTTCCAATCACCAAAGTGATCGTCGAGCGTGTCACAACGGTTACCCAGCCCCATCTCCCTTGTACTAGTTGCAGCACGATTAATATCTGCCCAACCACATTCGGGTGCCTCTCCGTCCGTCCGACCCACCCATTTGGAGAAGTTAAACGAGAAAGTTGTTTGGCAAGACTGGATGTGAGCTTTGAGGTGGAATTTGGGAACAAAAAAGCGAACAATCTTATTTTCGTGGTCGAACTGCAGTCGCTGGGGCATCATGCTATTGCAAGACCAGAGTTTCTTATGCCACTGACAGGCGATGTCGTAAGACAAGTTAAATACAGCCAGGCCAAAGCTGACGAGGACCAAAAAGACAAGGTAATCCATGTTTATATATCTGTCCAGTAGTTAGTATAGTATCACGCTGCCTTGAAGAGTATACAATCTCTCACTTTTCTCCCTTCTGCAGGTCACCTACACTATTGGGAAGCCTCATCTCATGACGAGCGCATACAACAGATCCAACTCCCGTTGCTGCAAGTCCTCGAGATGTCTTTGTGTCTGCGGTATTCACTGCGTTGTGACCCACACAGGTGCTTCTCTGTCCCAAACTTAGATCATGCCACAAATCGGGACGAACCTCTAGGATACGTACCTCTTGCCGTTCTGTACTGCGTTCAGACAGGAACTGTTTGTAAGCATGTTCTTCCACGAAATAAGCCCTTCCTGAATTGAGACTCGGGTCGCGATCATCACTAGATATAGCCTTGCGCTTAAGCCGGAAGTTTGCATCAATCGCGAGGAACAACACATAGCGCCACCTGTTTTAAAATTAGTACTATAGCGAGCTTGCGCAGGATGCTACTTACCTAATGTCAGGTGGCGAATTCTCCCATCCGTCAGGAATATTGATTCCTGGATGTGGACATGTCGGACATTGTACAACACACCCGCCATCTGGCGTGGCTTCAATACCATTGGGATCATGGCCACGGCCAGTGTGCATAAGTTGCAATAGGTGACGCCATTCTCGCATCATTCGCATGAACACCGAGTAACGATCCTGAAAGGGCGAATCAGTCGGATTTAATGGAGGGAGCTTCACATGTTACTGTACCTTGATTGGTGAGATTCCCGTGTTGTCCGAACGCCTCGCTAAACTGTGATAGAATTCATACGCAGACACTTTCGATTCGAAGGAGAGTAAATGGAATAATTCCAGGACACTGAAGGTCGCCGCTGTTCAAGGGTCAGTTGTGGTAGCTGGAAACCACCAAGCTCGTAGAAGTTGCTTGTAGCGAATCTGTGCGGTCTCACATCCACAGAAGTCTATGCCATATGTCTTGCTGGTCTACAGGCCTACAAACGCACAAACGGAAAGATAGGTCGTAGACTCCAAGCACAAAAGTGCAAAGTACACGTATTTATCACCATCCTCTTATCTTCCCTGAAGTGTCAAACTGACTGAATGAATCTTCTATACAGGGTAAAATGTATGCCTTCTACAGCGGCCGCTAATAGAAGCTTGAGAACAAGGTCGTAGGTTCTCATATCATGGCGTGCCTAATGTCAGAGAATCAGCATCTCGCGGTGGCAAATGAGGTAAACCAATGAGTATCACTTTGTCACGCGCATGACGTGAAGGTGGAGAATGCCACTTCACGGCACCTCCCAGAGAGAGAGAAAACTGTGATGGATTCTGAAGCGCTTCGTGCTGGTCAAGAAGATGAAATCTAGCATTAGCCGGGATCCCAAAAATATTGCAGCAATAATTGCTAGGGTGGAATAAGCGAATGAAGACGATAGGGTCGCCTACTACTGGTTATGTGTCTGCTCTTGGGCCTTAAAGTGGTGATGGTCATTTTATGACTCATGCCAAGGGGAAGACTCGAGAGCTGAGATATCCAAATTTTCCTAGGGAACGCAATGCACCTTAAACACTCTGGTTGAAGTGAGATAGAGAAACTTACCTCTCATCCCCCGAAACAAGACGTCCACATGCAAAGTTTGCGAGACAGGTCGTGCCCGGGGGACGTCACGGTACTTACAATGATCAACCGTGGTTAAGTAGTCTTCTATCCTGAACAGTACTCAGATGCTTGTCGGTAGCTCCCAATCGAGATTCAAGGACTTAGTACTTATCTTTTGTACAAGCGCAAGCAATCTGTCGATAACATTTGTCCTGGGCAAAACTGATAGAAGAAAGACTAGTGACGATTCGGGTCGACCCTTCATTGTTATTCCCACAGGGTGATCAGGTGTCGTTCACGAGATTCTGTAATTATGTCAGTTAACGTTGATGCTCTCCTGGAATTCTATCAAGCTTTCAAGTTGCGCTAAATATTGTCCAAAATCCATCGTGCGATCTCCATGCTCATTCCTTCGACATAGCTTTCCTTCATCGCAGATCTTCCCGATACAAAAGGCTCATTTTACTATTCCAGAGGATGCGCCTTCTGGTTGAAAGGTGTGCAACGTTTCCGCCAGTATTATCACTGCTAATGAGGATTTTGACAGCATGAGCCGTTGCCAATGCACACACATACTACATGTACAGGCGAAATCGATGTTTGCCTTGAATTGCACCCTTGTCGAGTACATCATCGACACCTTACACTTGACGACTATGGAACACTGGTCACACAATTTGATGGTTCGATTCATCCAAATCTCATGCGATCTCGTTGAGGCGAAAATCTCGCTACTCTCTAGTGATTGTGAGCATCTCAACATGCATTTGTTTGCTTTTCTAATTCAGTTCTCTTTCCTCGCACTTGCACTTTGACTCAGCATCTATGATACACAAAAGACTTGTATACAAAATCTCGCCTGCATTATTCATACCAACTTCCGTACGAAACGACCGACTACGTCATCGGTGCTTGTTTGCGCAGGTCTCTTGTATAACAGCAGGGTTCATGCGGATTAAAAGCTCTAGGTTCGCATAAACGTTCCAATCACCGTTAATGGTATGTCGCTTTGTTTTTGCTTGGCCCAGGTGTATTTAACTTTGTTCAGAGTGATATAAAGGGAAACACAGGGGAAATCCTCTGCGCTGCCTAACACTATATCAACTCTCATTCTTTTTCTGCAGTACAGGATGTACGACTCATTACTAGGCCGATTCTTCGCGTTGCTCCACGTTTGAGAATCTTGTCCAACTCGGAAGCGAAGTATAGGACCGACGTGGGACCAGTTGTCTGATATACCTGACCCAGTATGTTCGCCCTTTAATATCTCGTATCACTGATCAGCACCGTCACAGCCCTAGTATCTTGATATCCTATCCCCGTCTGCATGGTTGTAGAAGGCAACTGATTTAGACTAGGATGAATTAGTTCTTTAACACATGCAGAGCGATTCTTCGATGGTACTTCAAGCGTTCACACGACAACGTATTAAGACACCACCATACGTTGTTCGTACAGTCTCTATCCGCCATACGTCACTGACTGTTTCCATGCGACTCCTAACTGGTGTTTGTAGCACTGTCAGGTTGCTGTTAGGTTCACTCTGTATCCCCGTAACTTGTATTGCAAGGAGCACCCATAGAAAAGGCGGAACTAACAAGATGGCTGTCCGGTCTCCATATAATTGTAAAGCGCCTAAAAGGGGTCCATCGAAGGAGAAGGATACGGTTTTCATTGTGCGGCGATAGTGTACATATCGTCAATCTGCATGACTTTCATGGCATTTTTTGCCATGGTATGGCTATCTCTGTAGTAATACATTTGTAGTCCTACCATTATGGCCCTTAAATATGTTAGTTCACCAAGAAAAATCTGGACTCCGTGTACTAGGTCATGAAAAAGTCGCAGGGGGCAGTGGAAGGTGTAGGAAGCTGCAGGAGGTAGTGGGTCGAGCATGGAAGGCAATGGGAAGGTCCAAAGCTGCCGGAGTGCTGAGAATGGATGTGATTGTGGGGAGCGGTTGGTCTCGACCGAGACTCTATTGCACACATTCATATATGCTGAAGATCGGAGATTGGTGCCAAGGTCCACTGTTGTAGGGTGTAGGGTGATGAAGAGGCAAATATATTATATTGTGAGGGTAATCGTACAGGGCGTGAACGGCAGGGCCGGGCAGCCGTGATAGCTGGTAGTAGGTGTTGGTGGATCGTGTTTGCTGTTGTGAGGTAGCGGTAGGTACTGGGCATGCGATGGCAGGCATCAACGCACGGCAAGAATGAAAGTAAGGAAGGCAGTGAATGGAAGATGATCGATGAAAGCAGGTCTCGGTTCTTAGAAAACCAGAGTGATGGGCGGTGTAAGAATAGCGAAAATTAACATACCATGCCGCCTGAAAAACTCTATTCTTCTCCTAGGCTCGGAATCCCATCTGAGGGTCATCATCGACTTCACGCCAAAACCGCCATTCTTCAAAGACAGCTTCGAGGAGGCCAAAGAAGAGACCATCTGAGCACCCCGCTGATGATTCTGCTTCATATCCATCCACGACAAGATATAACTCCCTTACCGCCTGCGGTAGTGCAAAACCAAATTGCATCTCAATTTGTGCGAGATTCTGTGGAAGAATTCAGTAGTTGAGAGTATCGCCTGGTTCTGGGTATTCCCGAGCCAGCCATAGTTTTAGGCGATTCCCAGGTATTCTCTAATGGAGGGTAAGGTGGCGGTGGAGTCATTGAGTCTACAAAGGGCGTGCGAGGAAGAGGAAGAAGTGAGGTTGATCATGAGTGAGAGCTGGAGGGTAACGGAGGTCAGATAATTGAATTAAAAACAAAGTAGGAATGAATGGACGAAGTCGGTACATGACTGTATGCAGAAATTGGGGATTGCGGTGGATATGTATATATTGGACTGAGTGGTCACTGTCGACTGTAGCACCGACAGCAATATGATACAATTAAGGGCGAAAGCAGGTGCGGAACGAACGGACGACAGCGACAATTAGTACAATGATATTTATGATAAGTATTGTTCGCTGCAATGAGAACGACTGGATCCCTACATAAGTCCATGAGATTGGGGAACATCTTCAACGCCATATGACATGAACATACCAATTTCTGGTCACTTGCATAAGATTTGCTTGCTTCCTCGATTTCGCTACCCCTGCTGTTCTCCCCGTTGCAAAAAGCTTGATGACTCTTGTGTCTAATAATACATTAGCTTGATGTCAGTGTCGGATGACTGGGTCTTAAGCCGTGACTCACTGCCTTTCTGTTGAGGAAGCGGAGCGTGCCTGGTACATCATTTTGGGAATTGTGTCGACCAGACAAGGTGTCTTCCTCGTTGAGACCGACACCGTGTTTGACTTCTCGAGCATTCAAGCTGATAAAAAATAGGAACACGGTGTTTGATGAGGCGTAAAGTAAATGGCTTACAGACCCAAGACAATATTGACGTAAACTATGACTTGTCATGAGCCTGTGTGCGAGGTAAGTGGGTGATAAAAACTCACTCCTGGGTGTAACCATCTGGACTGCTATCCAGTATGGTTTTCCCGGTGAAGCAACAAACTATACAGATGAATTATAAAGTTATGCTTATGAAGTATCCACGCACTGTGCCTAGATACACCAGCTGAATGATGCTGACCAATAGAAACATGGTTAGGCTGCAAAAAACCCGACACAGAGTAAACCTACGTGAGCCCCAGGCCACGGCTGACAAACAACACCGCAAGGTTTTCAAGCACACCCTCGGGCCTGAAGACAACAATGAGTCAGCAGTTGTTTGTGTTTCATAATATGAAACACTGACTGGAGCATGTCCAGATAATGTGCTGGACACAATGACCAATACATCATAATAAAAATGATGATGTTTGCGACTGCTGCAAATCCTTGGCTGATGCCAGCGATAATCTGCAATTCTGGGTGAGAAATCTCTGAATCAACAAAAACCCTCACTGGCATAGAAGGTAAAGCGAATGTGGATAACTGCCCATGCTGGAAGCTAAGAAATGAATGAGAATCAGCGACGGCATCCAAGATCACTCTTAGAATATTGGCTTACAATTGTCCTACTGAAACTGTACTTCTGTCAATAAGATTCAATGGAATATCATACATACTGACTCAAACCGAAAACTACTCAAAATCCACGTCAGGTAAGGTTCACACATGCGGGAAATGATACTGACCGAAGGAAATGAAGGCACAAAGGAGCTACGGCATGGTCAGTGGAATTGACTGGATTCGATTACAAAAACATACCACTACCAGGCTGATGGATCTCGAAGTGATATTCGTAAAGCTACCACAAACTATTGAGCAATGAGATAATGAAACTCGCAAAAAAACTTGGCTCACCAGTATGAAGTCGACTAGCGAAAAATCTAAGAAGGAGTAAGAAATGTCACATATCATATCTGTGATCGTTGCCTTACGACTGCGTGATCAGAGTGAGAATGGCCTAGAGTAATGCTATGAAGCACGCTGAAAGCCACTGCTAAGTATATACTCACCGAAAAAATATATTGTATCTTGATACGGCAGGCAGTGATAAGCAGCTAAGACATGCCTGCACCAAATTTACTTACGCAAAAAGCTCTAAAAGCATGGTTATGAAGCTCTGCAACACATTTCACAAAGTGACACTTACGGCGTTGGATATAGGACCTCTATGGACACGTCGAACATCGTTATCAGGTAGTGGTATGGTCTGTTCAGATGCGTTAGAGATTGGAGTTGAAATGGAGATGACGCCCATACATGTCAGATACTATGAATCTAAGTCAGGAAGGCAGACAACACATCTGAAAGTGATCATACCTAGGCTAGTTGAAGTGGTATCGAGGACACTGGATATGTGTGAGGCACAGTTCGAGTTTAAAGCTGGAATACATTACAATAGTGCCCCAACCTGCGAGAAAATGGGAATGTCAAACGTGTACTCGACAATAGGGAAGAAACCTATACCAAGAGTTTTGTCCATGCATAATCATTCGAGTACCGAGAAAAATATATGTACATCTCTGCAACGGTATGAGAGAAATTTGATGAGACAATAAAATACTCACGAAAGAAGGTCAAGCCGTATAGGAATGTCGCAAACACAAAACCCATGAAAATAATAATGAGATTCTCTACTTCAGCAGGAGAGGGGGAGCTGGGGTCACTCATCGTATCAAAGAGAGAAGAAGGATTAAGAAATATGGATGAATGAGCAGATCATTATTTCGACGCGGTGCTTATAATGTGAAGCTCAATTACATTCACATAATTACTAGGCAAATGGTTCAATTGCCAAGTGGAAGTATTATGTAAGCATATCTCATTTTTAAATTTCTGACTTTTTAACAGCTACGATATGCAACTACAAGCAACGCGGCCCACGGCCAGCATGCAGCAAATTTCAAACTCTGCATCGCCTGCCAAATATAACCAACTCCAACCAGATGGATGAAATTTGGAACACAAATCATAAATAAATAATATGAATACTGTATAGCTCATTCCGACCCTGCACGATTCCTGCCGACTCGGAAATTGTCTGCCTGCTTGGATTGAATTGACAAAATTTCCCGACGGTATCCCATTGCCCCCGCAGTTCCCACGCAGAGTTCTAGTGAGTAAATTGGCCCACCCTCAGGCTGAACGCAAGTGTTCCATTTCAGACTTGTTGTCTGCTTCTTACAATAGATTGTTCATGTTTGATTACATAATTTGATTTTGGAACGAGTTGCTCATTTCGAGCAAAGCTAGTCTTTGTTTCTCATTTAAATTTTGACTAATAGAGAGGAGACGGACCCGGATAAAGCTCCGAGTATTTATGGTGTCATGATTGCCGCAGTGTCAAGCCTGAGCACACAAAGAAGATCCATGAATATAAAGACGTGAGAGTCTCGCAGATCCAGTGTCAACTTCAGCTCACTCACTTTCTTTAATATATATCGTGTTTTCCCTTCGTGTCCCATGGTGCCTAACTCCATTCAGATTATGTGGGGGCCAGGGTTCATTGGTGAGCATTCTGGTGATTCACTTTACCTTGCAGCTGACTATAGGCCAAGGATGCATCATAGCTACAGTGTATTGACTCGCGTCACTCATGCTGTATCCAATATTGACCTGCAGAATTGTAAAGGCTCTATGGGATATCCTTTGGGCAGTATATGTTCTACCTGCGATCTTTTCCACGAGATTCAAAAACACTCAAGTTATTCGTGAGCACTACTTTTTATTTTAATAAAAAAATCAGCAATGTCATTTTTCATGACTAGATAACAACAGTCTTGTGTGTGTCCTGCCCGATCTTGAATGCATGCTAATATCATGACGATGTCAGTCTTTTTGAAACAGTTCACCAATGTGCAATGATAGGGATATATTGGTCTATCCTCATATTGTGTCGACGTAGCACATCCCTCGAGTGCACCACTAGACTCCCCTGGTAAGTCGATAGACTTATTCCTAGATCCTACACAGGCTTATCTGGAAAATAGGCAGACGCTGGCAAGTACATTTGTGTTATCATAGTGTACTTTGCAATCATCATCGACCACAAAGCTGGGAATGTTTATGTCAGTAAGTCCTCCATGTTTGGTCGTCCATGAAGTCTAGTAACAAGTTATCAGTATTTCATCGTTTTCTTTGTTCAGTGGTATGTGTCTCCCAGTCGCTGGCACTAAGGACAATACTTATTTTTTTTAACAACACAGTTTTTATGCGTACAGGGTGTGGATAAGTGAGTCCTTTAGGATTTGCCAGAGTAAGGGTCTCAATGCACTCTGTTAGTTACGGGCAACAATCACTGGATCACAGGCATAGTTGTGAGATTACGTTTTCATCATTTCTTTCGTGAAGAGTTATAACACAGATCATCAGTGCATGCTTACTACTACAACATTCGGTGAGCTCTTTTGAGCTATTGTGTCACTATCTGACGTTTGGAAACTATAGTTTGTGGCATGAGTTACATCAATCTTTTAATTCTGGTGTCACTATTCTGACATGATGTTGTTCTGATTTCTAGTCGCCAGTGGTTTGGTGTGAGTTCCTGATTTGATCATTGTACTTATACGGTCTCTCACTTAGGTGCCAAAGAGTATATACAAGAAGCCCTGAAGTCATGTTCAGCACGAAGGTCCGCCCAGTCACAGTATAGTTTTGAATAAGTCTAACGAGTACATACCTTGAATCAGTGGTCACCAATAGCGGCATTCATCAGTGCATTATGTGATTCTGTAATCACAGGATCCATATGGTTATACATGCGACCAGCACGAACAGGCAATGTTCGGTGGGTGGTCTCTCTGCTTTGCTTGTTGTCTGACTCATCTAGGATTCTATGACAGAAGGAGAAAGTCAAGAAATTATATCAATGATATGATGTGGATTTTTATCAACATGGGTTTATTTTCGTGGTATGTGCAATCTTCCATACCTGCATATATTCCATTTCACATAGTGCCTAGCATTGTTGCAATCACCGTAACTGTGGTCGTAAGTGATTGTTGTCCTTGCTTGCAAGATGAGGGATCAAGACTGTTTCAGTATATGTTTCAAGACGGTCTTATTGGACAGTTCTATACCGCTGCACCCGGAGCGGTGATAGGGAAATGTCAGTACGTTTCCTTTGTGCTATGAATGCACTAAAACTCTTGTCATAGCCTATGTGAACTCGATGATGGCAGTGTGAGTGAAATTGTTTCCGTATGCGAAGCTCACTAAGGCAGTAAATTGGTGGTCAGGCTCAATGCTCGAAAGTCCATCCGCGAACGAGAACAACTTGGCTACAATCTAACGGAGCTTCCTACAATACCTACCATACAGTGATAATTTTGTCTTGGCAGACATCAGATGTGATATTCATATACACTTATGACCTCCGTAATTCTTGGCCTACTTCACGTCTGCTTCTTGTATGGGGGATTTGCGTTGCATCTCACAATACCTCCTACGTCAACACCAATGACATCAATATTGTATGCAGACTGTTACCCCCTTGGTCTCGTTGTCATGATCCTCTTCTCGCTCGTCCCTGCTTCCATTGTGTTCGATCATCACAATGTGTTAGTCAGAGGTGTGTGTTTCCGTTTGTCTATCCCTTTCATGTGGTTCTTGTTTTGTCCCAGTTTCGTTTCGTTTGGTCTACAGCCCCATTTCATTCGCTGTTCCCTTGGTTTTTTGTCCTTCCAGTGGTTGGGTGCACAATAATGTTCATAGCACACATCTGAGGTTAGTGCTAGGTTCCTCTATTGTATACGCAGCGCTTACATTGCTTCAGCGCAAACTTAACATCCCTGTTACTGCGACACTGCTATGCAGCGGTCTTATCAGCACTTCGCTTCAAGATCAACAGCTAGCGATGAATTTGTTTACTGATCCTCACCCCAGTTTGCAAAACTTCGCAGCAGGTCTCATTCGCGAATGTCTATCAAGTGACCCCCTGATTGCTTCTCAGAGTCAGTTCACATACTCTATTGAAGTTCTTGGACAGTTGGCACAAGCTGGTGATGCTAATGAAGAGTGCGTTGTAACCAAATTTACTGGGCTCGTGTATTAACAAATCTACTAGGGTGAATCGTCTCCTGGATGACCTTCGAGTCGTTCGCAGACCCACAATGGAGGGCATGGTAGTCTGCCAGCCTTCGGTCAAGCCAGAAACCGAGCAGCTCAGGGAAAAGTTGTTTAACTGGTTCCAACAATGGGGTTCCATCTTCCAGAGGTCTCACTCTCCTGAGAAGGCTTTCGTCCCCTTCATCTCCCAGCTCACAAAGCAGGAAATTTTGAAGGTCTAAGATATTTCTTTATTCTTCTTCCGCATGTGCGCGGAGGCAAGTGTGAACAGCTGCATTGAATGCATGGCAAATGGAGAGTTCGAATATGCGTTCCAAGTTCTTGACGCGATGTCTCCAACGTTTATCAAGGAAAACTGCGACTGCGGTTATGCTAGGGTGTGACATGGGTGGACCCGGGTGGCACCCGTACCCAATCCGCGGGTGGATGGAACTTCAGAAGCCTACCCGCACCCGTGCGGGTGAGAGTACCACGGGTGCGGGTGGATCCACGGGTGGGTCCGCAGATGGTATGGGTCACCCGCGGGTGACACATTATGAATCGTAGAATACGACATGGGTAGTACTACATAATATCAATCACAGTCGATTTTGCTGATACCAGCCTGCCTGATTCTTTTTCCTTGCCCTTTGCCATCTTCTGCCGCATGATATTCGTAGCGACACTGAGATCCGGCATAAGAGGCGTGTTGAACCACGATCCAACAGCAACCTGCGCTTGAAGGTCTGGGAGCTGATATCGTGTTGAAGATGATTCACCTGTAGACGGCCACCAGAGAAAGCACGTTCGGCATCAACTGAGGAAGCTATGGAGCATTAGATCACTACTACTTTGCTTCATCAACGTCGTCCGAAACTGTTGATGATGTGGCTGTTTCAGCTGAGTCTTCAGAGTTTGCAGGGCCACCACACTCCTCGTCGAGGAGTTCTTGCTCTAGAGGGGTGAGCTCGGCATTTTCCAAACCATCTTCAAGAGTTATGATGTCATTGTTGTCAGAGGGACATTTACGGCCTCGTTTTGCGACCTTCACTTGTCGTTTCCGCTGTGGCTGACGGTAGAAGAAAGAAAGAGAAGCCTGGTTATGAAAAATTAATATAATACATGCAAAGATGAATCAAACGTACCTTTGCGATAAGGTTCACAGTATGGGGAAAAAAACTGATTGAGGACGAGGAATGGAATTGGACTGGTCATTTTGCACATCGAGTTTTGAACATTGAAAACTTAGAAGTAATATCACATTTTGATAGCTCTGATAACAACAAATCTGATTTTGACATTGGGTGGGAGTTCGGTAACAAGTTGTGAGTTTGACTCGGCCGAAAAATATTGAGTACTGACTACCCGCGGATACCTGCGGATACACCCGTTTAGCAAGTCCTCCGACCTGTACCCGTGCGGATGGAACCATCCACGCTACCCACCATCCGTACCATCCGTCCCACATTCCGTCCGCGGGTGGTACCCGGGTGGGTATCCGGGTAACGTCCACCCATGTCACACCCTAGGTTATGCGTCCTTCATGGCCTTTTAACCATCGCAGGGGAGTGTTGAGAGCCGATGAAGCCGAGGACGGAAAGACCGAGAGAGGAAGAGCCGAAGGGGAGAATGGCACTATGGCCGAAGGATGAAGGGACTTGAGGTGCGAGCGCCACCAAACGGAGAATGTCGACGACGTGTCAACGTCGGCAATCTTTTCGTTCGTTTAGTATAAGTTTTCATCAAAAAAAGACCTGCTGGCGCACTCACCATATAAAAGCAGCCAGTCGTCGTTGAAGCATCTCAGATTCGTGAACCGAATACTGAGATGTGAGTGTTCTAGTGTAACGTTTGAGTACGAACGCTAATGTTTAACGTAGTGTACCTGTCTAGGTAAAAACACTTGTCAATAAAGAGATTCGTGAACCGAATACTGAGATCGTACCTGTCTAGCGTGTCCTGAAGCTCCCGCTCGAAAATTATCTTCACAGGGAGTAGTGATCGTAATGGGCTCCGGCATTTTACTGGATGTTGATGGTATGGAATACGGGCGAGGCTAAACTTTGGAGGGATTATGTCTTTCTCTAAGCTGCAGAGAATGTATGGTGCGTTTTATGGTGCTTCACTGCTTGCCTCGTTTCAATAGATGCCCAGGACATCTAAGGCTGTTCGTGCCCACGCCTCCATCACCGTAATGCACTCACCCATATTGTCATACCCGCTGTCCTCAACAGTATGTACATCTGCAGTGCATACATGCGTCCGACTCTTGTCTTTGCAGCTTCCAGAATGTATCCCATTGCATCAAGTCGAGCAGTCCGTGCTTTCCAGTGCTCGAATGTGACTGTCTATCCTGCATGAATACCGTTGTTTTTTGTATCTAGCAGCTACTCCAGCCTATCACCACGTTACTCCTTCGAACGCATGTATATAGCTTACTGCAATATCACTTCTCCATCCAACAGACTTCCAAGATCCTTGTGTGCACAGGATGCAATGGACTCGCCTTACATTTAACCTCTATTGGGCAGGTGGCAGGCCTCTTCCCATGTCGCATAATAAATCTGGAGCAAACTTGAATATGCTGACGGATAACGAAAGACGACACTAAAACAAAGGTAATACATGGTTTCACCCCAGAACCATATCCGCACAGCTCTTAGGATTGCATTTTTATCAACTGCGATACCCTTTCCTTCGTGTGGCGAGGGGTGAGTATACACGGGAATACATGGTGCCTGCATCGGCTGCATCAGATAAAATACAGGGATTCTTGAAGATGATTCGCGTCGTCAAGCCTCCAGTCCATTTCACTCCTTCAGCATCAGGCCCGACATTCCATCCTGGCGCACGTTCCAACCGGAAAACAGTCGGAATATTCACAACTGCGGTGAATGGAGAAGCATCGGCAACATGTCGTCCAATACTGCTGAAAGGTGAGGCAAACCTGTCTATTCGCAAAACTCTAAACTTCATACCAAATACGCCTTCCAAATCCAAAAACAATGGAATGTCATCACTGGCAGGGCCGTGTGTTGACGGCTCTTCGACGGCGACTTTCGACATGTGACGCTCGGGTATGAACCTAGCTATCAGATAGGCCCTCACGCGGAAGTCACATCCGCGCACCCAACCTGGTTATAGGGAATGTATTAGTGACAGGTTGTACAACTCGGATGAACCCTCTGGCACGTCGGGCAGGCTCAAGCGATTTTTGAGTGTTGTGAGGAATGAAGGGGTTCCACAATTAAGGAGGTATTGATAGAGGTTGTTGCAGAGGTCAGCGCTTTTGAGACATGAAGCAAAGTCTGATAGAACGGGTGGTATCGGTCCCATTTCGGGAATCGAGTCAAATTTGCGTAGATGAGGGTCAGGAAGGATGATAGACATAGGGAATGCGCTGAGGATGATGTTGCGAAGCTGGATGCAACGCGGAGGAATGGCATCGCAGAGACTAAAGTAGTACTCGCTAAGGAACTCCGGGAAATCATGAAGAAGGACGGGGAGGAGTCAGAGGGAGCCGCAATAAAAATTACGAGATGTGAGTTGGAGATTAGCATTGAGCCAGAAACTTGAAGGAGAAAAGAAGGAGCTTGTGGAACGCAGACCAGCACTGACGGGAAAAAGTCAAAAGAAGTTCCTCCAAAATTGAAGGGCAAATCTCACCTCGCGGGTGTCGGATAGTAGCAATTTTGGCATGAAGAGTCGATGTGAAACAAGGCAGAGCCAAGAGAATGCGAACCCAGGGAAGTAAGTGGGTTGCAAGTGTCACTGCGCAATTGCGAGCTACAATAAAAATTAAAAAAATGGAAAATGGTGGAGTTGAAGCAGTTAAGAAGTGTGCGGACTACACGGTAAACATTGAACATATATAACAGGTCGAGAACAGAGAGATACGTACTCAGCTTGACGATCTCTGCCTGGCGGTTGAAGATGTGAATGATCTCGAGTATGATGACTTGCGTTAAGCCGCTAGAATATCTGGAGGAAGTGCTCGAGTACAACAATAGACCTGGCAAGA